GAGTTAGATAGAGTGTGAAAGACCCCCACCTTCGACGCCTCATTCTGAGGGAGGCATTCATAGGCGCGATGTTGTATCGCCATAACCGCTGGTGAGGATACTCCGAGTCATTCAGATATGGGCTGTTCAATGATTGTGGGGTAGGTTTTCAAATATCCAATTAATTCATCGCATAAACCCTTTGCCCCCAAAAGCGTGTGTTTTGTTTTGGTTTTTTATTTTAATTAAGGGCTTAATTAAGTGGTAATTATTAAAAACAGTGAGATTGTAAATTGGTCATGGTCAATATAAATTCATGCCCCGAAATTATTAACACTGTTGCCCAAACACAAGAGGCATTGCATGGCATTCCCGGATTACTCCCTCCGGAGTAATTAGCGCCCAAAATCCAGTGCATTTGTAATGTCTATCAGTCTATCCGTCAACTCGTATAACAATTATATAGTTATATGACTTACCCGGCAGTGATGGGCGCTCGGGATATATCGATGTTATCGGGCGCTAAAGCGTTCACATATGACTCAGTCATTAGCATGTGATGCGGTGAGAAGAGCTCTTCGTCCACAGTTATGGGCGCTATTCAGGGCAGCAAAAAACAGAGACAAACATGGAGTCAAATAAGCAGCTAAACAAACATCAGGTCTCTATCCCAGTCGAGTCATACCGAGTTGATCTCTGCTCTCCATTCGCTCGTCTTTCGTCACATCAAAAGGCAATGAGTCGTCGCCTAAAGATTTCATCTCATCGGCGGTCAGGTATCTGTAGGACTGGTCGCCTAACATATTGTCGTCCACTGCAACGCAAGTCAACAATTAATGGTTAAATATAAACCAATAACACATAAGCTATTTAAAAAGCTTTAGTCCAAAAAACTCACATAAAATCAAACAAACAAACAATTTATACCAATTATTTAAAGTTCAAAAAACAATATTTACATAATTATATAAATAATGAAATTAATTGAAGAAAAATAGCAAAAAATAAGAGAAGAGAGAGAAACGGAATAATACATAGAGATATAGAGAGAGAATAATCATCACGAAGTAATCATCACTTACTAGTGGTCTGTAATTTCTGAGCCTCAAACAAAGGAAGATAGACATGAGAAGAGTGGGTTTGATGCCCACTGTATAGCGGCTCCTCTAGAAATTCTTCACCTGATTCACAATCGATTCAATCAATTGACATTAATTCATACAAGTAATTCACATCACTTTTATATGTTTTAATTTGTCTTTGGATTCATTCAAGAAATTAGTTTTTGATTTATGGTTTCATTAGCTTTTAAATTATATTAATTACAACATCGAGACTAACTTTTTCAACAACAAAAAATAACAATATATTCAAAACCAATAATCAATATTAGCTAATAATAACTTATCAAAATCAGGTGAGTATTTGCGCGAATATTATTATATAAATCTCAGCTCAGACTATGTTTGTTAGGACTATCACTATAGGCGGCAAATGTATTAATTATTTACACGACTATTAAAGTACTAATGGTTAAGCACTTCTGGAGAGGACTTGAGTTTTTCACTCAATTCTTAATTCATTTATATTTGTGTCAAAATATAAGAAATAATCTTTCAATTGACGAAAATATAAAACAGACAGTAAAAGTCGTTTAGACTTATCACTAAACTATTTCACATAAGAAATGACTTTTTCGTGTTATTTATGATAAATAATTGGTATATTCCTTGAGATATCAATTAATATACTATTGAGTTATAAATAAATTAAACATTTACTCTCAATCCATATCTATTGGGAAGACATTTCAATGGTCTTAATAATAATATAACAATATTT